AGTTGGAGTCTCACTCTGTCGTCCAGGCTAGAGGACAGTGGTACGCTCCCGGCCACCGCAGCCTCAACCTTCTGGGCTCCGGCGATCCTTCTGCCTCCGCCTTCCAAGTAGCGGGAAATACAGGCATGTGCCACCACGCCCAGCTAATTTTATTTTATTTTATTTATTGTAGAGATGAGGTCTCGCCAAGCTGCCCAGGCTGGTCTTGAACCCGTGAGCTCAGGCAATCCTCTCACCTTGGTCTCCCAAACTGCTGGGATTATAGGTGGGATCCACTGCGCCCGGCCACATTATATATCATCCTTCACCCTTTGCTGGGGTGGGCAGGGGAGGGGAAGGACCAGACGACAGGGCCCTACCATGGCCTCAGTACTCTGCTCTGTTTCCGTTCCTTGTGTGTCCTGATGAGCCTCTGTCCAGGCTCAGTGAACCTGGCCTGAGACTGGGGTCTGCACACTGCATAAGCCCAAGAAAGACAAGGCAGGCAGGCAGTGCTGAGAGCTGGTGTCACACACACTCAGGGTGAAGATGTGTATCCAGGGATGCAGCCCCATCCAGAGTCTTCCTCTCATCTTCCACCGCTTGAGCCCATGGCAGCCTTCTGGGGATGACCGGCCCTTGCCTCCCGCTGGCCCATGAGGCTCTGTCTCGTCTCGATCCCAAGACGGGGGTGGCTGTCGAGTCTCGGGTCAGGTACAGAGGCCCAGGAGGGGCCATAGCTCTATTGGAGTCCTTACAAACGGCCATTCCTGCCACCAGGAATGCGGCACAGGGAGAGGAGATGCTGCGGCAGAGGCAGGGTTGTCTAGGGTGCCACAGCTCAGGGACAAGAACAGCTGGTGCCAACTGTTCTAACCAGAAGTCCTCTCAATGTGAGAACTGCTGGGGCTGAGGGACCCTTGGAGGGACTGCAACAACCAAGGCGCAGGTTCAAGGAACGAAGGCTGACTGTGACCGCCCCCCACCCAGGAAGCGGGGCCTGCACTGCTTTCCTTTAGCTGAGTGCAGAGTGCAGCTCTGAAGTCCACCTGAACGGCTTGAAGCAGGTGGACACCAGAGGGCGCTCCTCTCACCGTTCCTGTTTGCTGAAAAGAGTAACAAATGTTCCACCCGTTGGAGTCTGTGTGTCTGCACCGTGGCCGCCTGTCCAGCCTCTGGCACGCAAGTGGTATAGCCACACGGCTGGCTTCCTCCCCCATGCCCTTCCGAGCCCTGACTCACTGGGGTTTTGTGCTCAGATTCAAAGAGCTCCATTGACAGCGGGGATGGGGTTGGTTTCTCTCCCCGAAGCTTGGTCCGCTGGGTGGCACAACTAGTCAAATGTCAAAGGGTCCAGCCATTCCTGGAACCGCTTCCTGACAGCCAGGCCAGGAGTGCGGAGACAGCCCCAGCAGAAGTCCTTCTCACAAGAAACACGAGGCACTTCATTCACCAGGCAAACAGGCCATTCCCAGGTCCCGGGATCCCCGAGTTCTTCCTCAAGATGCCTTCGATGCTGAGCTGCTGAAGGGCCTACCCGGAGCTGGCTGCAAAGCCTCCTACTCAGCACCCCCACTGTTTACGGTCTTTCCTGGGAGAGGCCAGAGGGCGGGAGCAGCCAGGGAGTGGCCAGAATGGGATGACCAGGGGACACAGGCCAAAAGACCCTCCGAGGGGGGTGGTGGGGAGCCCAAGGGCTGGAAGAGCTGCAGGACTCCCTCCCCTCTACAAGCTCAGGTGGAACCTCCTGGGTCCTCTCTGCCAGGGAAGCAGAGCACACGCCTCCTCTTTCATCAGTTCCCAGGCCAGGCCCAGCCCAGGCCCAGCCCAGACCCAGCCCAGAGCACGGAAGGGAGGGGGAAGAGGAGAGGAAGAGGAGGAGGAAGGAGGAGAGGGGGAGCTTGCCCAACCCAAACAGCCAGTCCTCTGGGGCAGGGGTAAGGCTTCGGGGCTTGAAGTTGAAGTTCCCATCAAGGGCTCCCCCTTGCGACAGTAATCTGACACTCAGATCTCCAGGACGACCAACAGAAAGGCTGAAGCAGAGACAGCAGCTGGCTGTCAGAGGAGCTCGGCTAGGAGAGGCGCCCAGGGGAGTGGCAGGTCAGGAAGAGGCGTCCACGGAGGAAGCACAGGACAGGCACGCAGAGCTCTGCGCCGGGGCACTCCTGCTCGGTCCCCAACACCTGGACTCCAGGTGAGTGCGGCTGGCCACAGACGACGGGGAACAGGAAGGGAGGGAGCAGCCAGGGTCTCCTGCCCCAAGGGTGAAGGGCCACAAGCTACTGTGAACACGGAGAGCAGGAGAGCAGGACCTCGGGAGACGCACGGGGACACTTCCCCACAGGGGAGTCAGACAGCCTCCTGCACACACCTGCACTCTCCCTCCTGCTGGAACTCTGCTCAGCCTGCCTCCCCCAGCATGCTGTGCAGGCAGAGGGGCCAGGAGCGCCTGCTTACTCTGCAAGTTAGTTGAAGCCTTTTCTATCGAGGGGGCTTAGGAGAGGGATTTGGCTGTCCTGACTGGGCAGAGAACTGCGGCCTGCCTGCTGAGCCTCCCTTTTTCCCAGGATTAGGGAAGAGCCCTCCCTGTCCCCTCGCTCCCAGTTGAGGTCAGTGCAGGGTCTGCCCAGCCAGCTCATAGGACTCGCGGCAGCTCTGCTCTTCTGTGTCCCGGACAAGTAGCAGCTGCCATCTCTTTGGAGGGCTTGCCCCCTACTCCTAGGAGTTCTCAGCTCAGGGCTAAGGCTCAGGGCAGGTACGTCTCCTTGGGCCCATTGAGATCCCTGTGAGCTCCCAAATCTCCCTCTGGCAACAAATACTGAACCAGGAACACAGATGCTGGACTCAAAACCCCAGGGTGGGTTGAGAAAAGGTGACCACAGAAATTAGGCTGGGGAGGGATCGGCCTGGCATTCGGGACCACTGCTGCACCACTGTGACATTCTTGGGTTCTCTGAGGCACACTGAGGGCAACCCTCCTGGGCAGAACCCCGTGCACCGAAGCTGCCTGTTCCTCCCGCCTCCCTGTCCTCAAGCCAGGGTTAAAGCCCCTGCCAGCCTCCCCCCAGATGTTTTCCTCAAAGCAAACAAGCTGGTGTCTAGTAAGAAAGAAAAACAATGATCCAGAGAAAAGTGGAAAAAAGGATCGGTCCAAGCGTCCTTGGCTCAGCAGAGGCTGTGAGCTTTGGCTAGGGTTGGTGGCTGTGGAGAAAACTCCTGTGGTGTTGGGAGGTGGGGAGCAGGAGGAAGGGACCGAAAGTACCTTAGGCGGCAGGCCAGGCCAGGTGGGGGGCCACAGTGGTGAGCATATGACCCCAACTCTGCTGGTTCTCACCCATGAGACACATAGGCAGGCAGGCAGGGGTCCATGTCCTGCATCCACAGGACACAGATGGATGGGGTCCCTCCAACCTAGTCCCTGAGCCAGGCAGAAGGGGAGCAACCAGCTTCTGTGGCTGCAGAAAGGAGCTACTCCTGTTTCTAACAATCGCCAGCAGCAGGAAGTGCCTCTCCTGTCCTGGGAGGCAGGAGGAGGGCCTGCTAAGTGCTCCGAGCACCACCGTCTACTCCACGTGGAAGCCAGGACAGAAAGGGGAGTCATCCAAAGGCTTGGCACAGCACACAGAGGGCACCCCCGCCCGGCTGCTCAAGCTCAAGTACAGGACTCCACAGATGGCCCACAGCTGTTGGCTATGCCACCTTCTAGCTGGTCCTCAAAGAAAATAATGCCCAGCAGGGTGAGGTGGCTGGAACCCACCACGGCAAAACACCAGGGCAGAGCAGGCAGACCTTGGAGGCCCTGCACCATCAGCACACTGCGTTTATCAGCCTTCAACACACCACCTGCTGCCCGCTCTCTTCCACATGGGACTCCTGGTATTGGAGTATCAACTCTGTGAGGAGGAAGCAGGAAGCGTCAGTGCCCAGTGGCAGCTGTCTGGCTTGCAGGATGCCCGACTTGCCATCGCAAGGCTCTGTGTGCCAGGAGATGTCACACCAAGGCAAGTCCGCCCATCCCTCCAGCTCTGCCAGCCTTCTCTGCCCTGCGTGTTTTCCTCCGCTGGCTGCCACTCCAACCAGGCACACCCTCTGAAGGCTCTGGGAAGGGCTGTCCAGGCAGCCTTGGCAGCAGGAGGGCCCGGTGGCAGCCAGGCTGCTCACCCTATTGGGGCCAAGGGAAGCCACCACTTGCTCTCAGTTGGAGTTGAAAAGGCTCCAAATGAGGCACAGCTGAACATGGGCTTGGGAAGGACTCTGGCTTCCTTGGTTCCCAGGTGGGAAGTAGTTTTAGAAGGAGTTTGGTGAACCTGAGATAGAAAGACTGGAAAAATACAGGATCACTGGTAGCCCAACTGGGCTTCCCTGCCTTCCTCCTTCCAAACCTGGGAAGGGAAAGGGGACGAGAGGTGGCTCGGAGCTCCCATTTTCCCCAGGCCACAGCTGGGAACTTAGGGCGCCCTTCAGAGCAATGGCTGGGGCACATGTCACATGGTCACCTGACGGCTGCTGGTTATATTGGGCACCAGGCAACAGGCACTCCCTTGGCCTCGCTTTAAATAGCCCACTGGGAAAATTGCCTGGGGACCTGCTGGAATGTGCCTCCTCCTCTTTAGAGAACAAGACCCCTCAGCACCCCAACCCGAAATCTCTCTGCTCAGTCACAGGCTTTAGCTTGAACTGACAAAATGTATCAACTGCAAAGCAAAGAGAGTTCCTCTTCAGCTCTCTGCAGGCAGAACAACTGTGTGCAATGGCCCTACTTCTGTCCACAGTGCGACAGGATCCTGTAAGCAGCCCTGGGTGAGACCCCAGGGCTGGGTGAGGCTGGCCACGCCTGGCTGGTGATTTCAGCTCCCAGTGAGCTCCCTGGGTGCAAAGCTATGACACCATCTACATCCATGGCCTGCTACTGGTATGGACTGACACCTTTCCCAGTGCGGGGCCAGGGTCCACTGGGCAAGTCCTCTGACTTCACAACCCCTGGTGGAGGCTGGCCAAAGCTTCTGAACAACAAAACCACTTTTCCTACACAATTAATTCAGCCTCAGCCTGCGCCCTCCTCCCTGCTCTGGCGCTCCAAATCGGCCTGACCCGGGGCTTCCACTCCACTTTTCCTCACTCACAAGGAGCTGTTGCTGCTGTGTCTGGGCGTGGCACACAAGTGGAAAGCTCTCCCTGCCCTCCTGAGTCCTGGCCGCTTCCTCGTTTAAGGAGTGTCTGTGTTGGGCTACATTAGGCTACGTGGGCACAGTGCCAATCAGGCTGCAAAAGCCAGACCAAGTATAGACAGAGAGAGAGGGAAGAAAAAGCAGCCCAGCTTCTAAACCATGCAAACTGTCCCCCAAGGACATTGTTGGCACAGGCATCCCTCTAAGAATGAGACCACCTGGAAAACTGGGGACTGAGGATGGGAGAGTTCTGCGAACAAGAGGGGGGACCACCATCCTTATGCGAGCCTGCTCTACCTGGCCAGAGCGAGGGTCTCATTCGGTATGACCAGAGGGGACAATCTTATGCTCAGGATAGCAGGGCACACAAGCTATGTCCCTTTGTTGACAAGCAATACAGACAGTCTCAAAAATCCTGATGACCTTGGCCTGGTGGTGATAGGCTGACAAAAGTGAATCCAGACTCTCAAGGGTTGGGGAAGTTGAGCACAGCCAGGTGGCTCCTATGGGGCTCCTGTGCTGAGCCCACTACCTGGCTGGTGCCCTCAGTGGGGCTGTACCTGGCTAACCAGGAAGAGTGCTAGGTGGGCCCTGTCCTGCTGTGTGTCCTCAGAGAATTAATCTACTTTCTTGGGCCTCAGTTTCCCCATATGTAAAAGGAAGGAGCAGAAGTGGATGACCTGTGGCATTCCTGGACTCTATGCCTCTCAGTACATTTAAAAATGGGGGTCCTCATCACCTCTGCAGGCATGTGCTGCCTTGCGGGTGAGGCATCAGAAGCAGAGAGGATCTAAATCAGGATACTTCCCATTCTGACAGGAAACCATCTTATTTTCCATGGAGCCATCGTCTGCCTGCCAACTGTCACTTACAAAGAGAGCTCCTTATCTCCAGCTTTCCCAAACATCCTAGGAATGAAGAACAGATGAAACACCCGAAAGGTACTGGGGTGTTTGCTGACAGTGCACAGGTTGGGCGGACAGCCTCCAAAGCCAGCGAGACCCAAAGCTGCCTCAACTCTCCTGGCACTGGTCGGACTCCACACAGAGGGCCATTCTTGTGTGCTGGGCACCTCCCTATGCTTGTCTGCCATGTGCTGCCAGACGGTCAGTCCCCCAACAGCTATGAAAGATGGGCACCTCACTCCACACCAGAGAGATGGAAGCACCCTGTCCATGTCACAAGAGAAGAAAGGGGAGGCAGCACTCAAGCCCAGGGTGATCAATGTTCTACACAAGGCAGATGAAAAAACCAGAGAAGTTCCTTGTAGAAGAGGAAATTCAGAAGGTACACACCAGCTGCCATCTAGTTCCTGAGGGACTGGCAGAAGAGGGGTGGCAAGTCCCTAAGTGATCACAAGTGGGACTAACTGGAGGTTAACAGGGTGTCTGACCTTCTGCAACGGGGCAGGCAGGGAGCTCCTCACTATCAGACATGCTTCTGCAAAGGTCACCAGGAGGGCAGCAGGCCAAGTGCACAGCAGAGGGCTCCATTAGATGACCTTCAGGATGGTTCTAAATCAGCTAGGCTGAGGCAGCAGCACCGAGAGTGACTGGCCTCACCAGCCGCAGCCATCTCAGGGAGAGCCAATTGAGACCAGGAACGAGGTGGCAACAATTACAGCCAAATGTCTGGCACAAGCCCCTGGCCACCTGTTCCCTCACACTCCCTGGATTAGAGCAACTGCCTTGGTGAACTGGTTCGGGCTGGGCTGCACAAGGCTGTCCTTGGTCTCTCTCCAAAGAGGCACTGCCTCCCTTGTGATCACAGGAGAGACAGAAGGGGAAGGTGGCTCCCAGGAACAGATCACACTCACAGACTCGGCCTGGAGTTGCGCCTTGGGCCGTGTGAGCACCCCTAGATAGGAGGAGGCTCTCCTGGGCCAGGGGTGGGAGCAGAGAGGACTCTCCTGGTCAGGCCAGAGAAACAGGTCAGAGCCAGCAGGGGAAGAGCTGGCTAAACCAGCCCTGGGACTCCTGATAACCATCCTGCCAGACAGGACCCCTGGCAAAACCTGGAAGGACACAGTACAGCCTCTTCCTCCTCACAGAGAACAACATAAGAGTAAAGAAATTGGGCTGGGCCGGGGGTGGTTGCTCATACCTATAATCCCAGCGCTTCAGGAGGATCACTTGAGGCCAGGAGTTCAAGACCAGCCTGGGCAATATAGCAAGACTCCGTTTCCACAAAAAAATATTAGCTGGGCATGGCGGCACATGCCTCTAGTCCCGGGTACTTGGGAAGTTGAGGCTGAAGGATCACTTGAGCCCAGGAGATCCAGGTTGTAGTGAGCCATGATTGCATCATTGCACTCCAGCCTGGGCAACAGAGCAAGACCACATTTCTTTTAAAAAAAGAAAAAAAAATTGCCCTGGCAGGAAAGGTAGGTACCCTGGGGGACAGTTTTCACCTATGGCTGGCCTTGGCCAGAAGCCCCCATGAACCTGCTCTTGGTCCTTTTTGCCCCCTTTCTGCCTGATCCTTTCTGCCCCCACATGGGATGAAAGGTTGGAATCCTAAAGCCAGTCTTCCCACGCTGAGGGGACACAGAGGGCCAGGAGGGAAGCTAGGTGGGTAGAAGGCACCCTGGCAAAACCTAGGAGTGGTGTCCCGAGACAAAGGGATATGAAGTCACTCCACCTTGTGGTCAGAAACCTTGGTGTGGCTGGCAGCCCCTGAAGCAGGCTCTCAGTCTCCCTCTTATCACTGACTTCCCTCGCCCAAACAGTGCCAGTTAGATGGGGGCTGAGGGCCACCGCTGAGTGGAAGCCACGAGGGTGCAAGGCATGAGACCTGACAAACTCGTTCTGCGGTTGTGGGTGGCTGCGAGGGTGGAATCTCCGGTGCGGCGAAGTGTGGAGCCAGCCGGGGACTCCAGGTGTTCTCTCTGCCCTGGCACAGCCTGGAGGGATCCCGGCAGGAGCCAGTACAGCATGGCAGGCGCCAACTTCGTGCAGGAGATGCAGTCTGTGGGTGAAAAGCTGCTGCTCAAGCTGCAGAGGCTGCCCCAGGCCGAGCCCGTGGAGCTTGTGGCCTTCTCAGTCATCCTCCTTTTCACAGGTCAGTAGGGGCAATCCAGTTCTCCTCAGCACACCATGGTTCTCCCTGGCAGCAGGGAGAGATGACACCATGGTGCTAGCTGGCAGAGGTGACAGGTATCCCTCAGGTCAAGGAGGAAAAGCAGCTGCCCTTGGGGAAAGCCAAGGGATTTCCCTGTATCCTCTGACATGTTGCTTGGGTGTGGGCAGTCTGGGAAGTGGGCCCAGCGGCACCCCCCAATGCCAACCCAGGGTTGAAGGGAGCCAGGCTTGGGTGGTGGAGGAGGAGACACAACCGGAAGGAGGCAGGCCCTGATGGCCAGTGTGGAGACTGCCAATACCTCTCGCTAGCCTCTCGCGTCTCTCTGACCACTAGGCTAGGCCTAGCATTCCTCCTGGGGGCTCTCTGGAAGGAGGGTGGGCGTCCTTGCTGTCCCACACTGCTGAATGCCCTGTGCTCTCTCCTGCCCTCCAGCCACTGTTCTGCTGCTGCTGCTGATAGCTTGCAGCTGCTGCTGCACTCACTGCTGCTGCCCTGAGCACAGAGGCAGGAAGGTCCAAGTGCAGCCGGTGACTCCACCATGAGGGCTGGCGAGGAGACTGCCAAAGTCATGACACGGGCTATCGGCCTGGCCCCGCAGCACTTGCCCCTCAAGACCAGGCTCCCCTGGCCCCAGGTCTGGCACTGCCCAGGTACCTGGACACTGACACCTGGAGCATTATCAAGGAAAAAACGGCTGGTGCAGATGCAAAACCATCTGCCAGCGGACACTGGGTGCCAAGGAGTCGTTGACGGTTTCAAAGACTGAGTAGATCACCTGGGATTCTTTGCCTACCTGCACTTTTTAATAAAACAAGGAAGTAGGGGGTCCCGACACCTCAATGGAGAACAGACTCACCTGTGGGGAGCTGGCCCTTGGGGCTCTTGCTGATCCATGCCAAAGAGGAGCAAGCCGATCACAGGAGTTTTGTGCAATAGCTACCGCATGCGAGCTCCCCACCAGAGCAGAAATATGTCAGTATGCCAGTTCAGTATTTGTCTGTTTCCAAGGAAAAGCTTTCTGGTTTATGTGTTTCTGTGGTGTTTCTCTTTGACATTGGGCTGGGCTCTGTGCATTGGGAAGGCGGTATGGCAGAATTCCAGAGACGTGGCCAGTACCTGTCCTCTCCAGGTCTCTGCTCTCCCTGTGCCCACAAAAGCTGAAAAACCATGGAGAGGAGTGCCACACAGACAGAAATGCCACAGAACCAGTGGAGGGACACCATGCAATTCCTGTCACGCATTAGCTGCTAACAAGCTCTGGCTGCCATGTACCTGGGTTGCAGCATGACAGAGGCTGTTTGCCACAGCAGGTGGCTCAGAAACACCACTTAACATTTTCTCCTGCCAGAAGCTTCGGCCTGCACATCCCACACTAGCAGGCTCAGGCCAGCGGGTCTTTCAAAACTTCAGAGAAAGGCCCCAGGACCCTCTGCAACCTGCATCCCGATCTCTCGTCCCTTCCCCCAACTTGTGTGCTGTCTGGCTTCACAATCTCTCCCTGCCATTTACCAGCTGTGTGACTCAACCTCCCCAAGCCACCTCTCCTTTAGTGAAGGGGGCTAATCCTTGTACTGCTTGCTGGGGTTTGCTGTGAGGGTAAACCAAAGTGACCTATGTCTAGCTCATAGCACAGTGCTGGCACAGCCTAAGAACTCCACAAATATGAATTGTCACGATCTGCCCTCCAAACACAGGCCCAACTCACAGCAATGGGGACTCATTTTAAAGAATGGTCCTGCTGAGATGTAACACCCTTTCTCCCTCCCTTCAGTTTACTTTCCAGGTAGAGCTGCAAACCCAGGAGTGAGGGGAGGGGAGGTACAAGGCTCCAATGGGACCAGGACAGAGCACCCTGCAGCACCTCCCCACAAGTTCCCTAGAGTCATAAAGAGGTCTATGTTTTCACGTGTCCTTGGCCTGCACAGCCCATATTCTGGCACCTGAGAACAGGGCCCTGGCTACCCAGAAAACAGGACACAGGGAGGGGATAACAGCCCGTCATCAACTCCTGCCATCTCCAGCTGGCAGTTCAGGCCACACTGGTAGGGGCAGGCAGGACAGAAGCTCTCACCGGCCAACTTCACTTCCTAGTGTCCATGGACTTGTCTGACAGGTTTGGGCTGAAGACCCAGAGAAGATGTGTTTCCATAAAAAAGAAAGAAAAGAAATGAAAGAATCTGCCTGTTTTCCCCTCCAGAGCATGGGATCCAGAATAACAACAACGATGGTGATGATGAAGTGGCTAAAATTTCTTGAGGGCTTATAGATGCTCGGCCATCGTAATCAGCATTTTGATGCAGAAAAATTCATTTAATCACCACAGTACTTCAATGCCATACATACCATTATTACCCCCATCTTAGAGATGAGGAAATTGAGCCTTGCAATGCTAGGTCATTTGTCTAAGTTCAGCCAGCTGAAAAGTGGCACAGCCAGCCTGAGTCCAGCCTGTCTGGCTCCAGAGCCCCTCCTCACCACACCCAGGGCTTAGAGGCCCAGCACTTGGCCTCCTGGTTGTAGGACAGATAAAGCTCTACATCCCAAACACCCATGCCCCACACTCTGTCTCAGAATAACCTCCATGGGAGTGGGTGGAACCCAACAGGTAAGAGCTGGGGTGGGGCCCAACAAGATGTCCCTCCCAGAAGAAAAACACAGGGGAGGTGGAGGGACAGGAAACCCTGCATTCTTCACGCCGAGTACCAATGGCTGCAGGGTCCCTGGAAGCCCTCTGTTCAGGAGATGCTCCAGCAGTGAAGCAGCTCAGTTCCCAGATGGCTTTCTCTTAAGTCAGTTTTCATCAGCATCAAGAACGGCCCTCCTCAAGGGTGGCTACAGCTGAGACTCTGCTAGAAGAGACTCTGCTTCCCCACCCCAGCTGCTGAGAGGTGTGGATCACAGACAGCCCTGGGCATAGAAGGTTAACTGGTTGGCTCATGAGCACCTTCCTGTTCCATGCCAGATGATCCACAACTGCTGAGTCCACACAGGATGCAGTCCCTGCCCTTAGAGGACTCGCTCCTCCCCACTCTGAGCAAACTGGCACACACTGAGCCCAGCTGCCGGGCCAAGTCACTTGTGGGCTTCAATCCCACTCAGGTTAACAAACCAGATCTTCTCTAGCCCAAACACGCAGTTCCTCATGCAGGTTTCTTCTATGGAAGACAGGCATGGAGAAACAGGAACAATTGCCTCACTACAGGAAAGGATGAACAGAGACTCTGCAAACAGACCAGGTTATGCCAGAAGATGGGTGGGGAATGGGAAGGGGTGGCCAACAGGCTTAGGTCTAGAGATTATCTGACTGACCCTGGCAAGCACCTCTCTGTTCCCACTGTCATGTTATCCTGGACCAAGCCACCACCAATGCCTGCCTGGCCAGGGTATTAAGTGGTCTCCACAACCACCAGCGTCTTCATGACCCCCAGCCATGGCCTCTGCTTCAGTGACCACACAGACGTCTGCCCCCAGTTCCTCAAAGGGCTTTGCTCTGCACTGAAGATCTGTGTTCTACTGTCTGTATATTAGGCCTTATTAAAAACTACAATAAAGCCACTGATGCAATAACTTGGCAGAAAACATACAAAACAATTTTCTCCCAAATCTGTTTTCTCAAATATTAACATTTTAAAGCAATCTATAATAAAAGTCTTCATAACGACACATTTGGTTCTGTGTAATACAAATTCCAGATCATAAAACACTGAAGACAAATTAATTTTATCCTAAAAAAAAAAGGTTTCGCTGGGCATAGTGGCTCAAGCCTGCAATCCTAGCATTTTGGGAGGCCAAGGCAAGGATTGCCTGAGTCCAGGGGTTCGAGACGAGCCTGGGCAACTTGGTGAGATCTCATCTCTACAATAAATCAAAATATTAGCTGCGTATGGGGGTGTGCACCTGTAGTTCCAGCTACTTGGAAGGCTGAGGCAGAAGGATCAATTGAGCCCAGCAGGTCCAGGATGCTAGGGCCATGAGTGTGCCATTGTACTCTAGCCTGGGCGACAGAGTGAGGCTCCAACTCAAAAAAAAAAAGTTTTCTCATTCTCCTTGGAACCTGTTCTCTATCATGGAACACTGTCCCCTAATTCTGACTCTCACAAAATCTTCACGTCTTAACTTTTTTTTTTGAGTTGGAGTCTCACTCTGTCGCCGAGACTGGAGTGCAGTGGCCGATTCCGGCCACCGCAGCCTCGACCTGCTGGGCTCCGGCGATCCTTCCACCTCAGACTTCCAGGTAGCCGGAATTACAGGCATGCGCTACCACGCCAGTTGATTTTTTGATTTATTGTAGAGATGAGGTCTCGCTGCCCAGGTGGGTCTCGAACCCGCGGGCTCAGGCAATTCACTCACCTCAGCCTCCCAAAGGCGCGGGATTACAGGCTGAGCCACTGAGCCCGGCTTCATGTCTTAACTTAAACATCACTTCCTTAGGAAGAAATCTACCTAGCCCCCAGACCAGGTTATGCCACCTGTACCCACAGCAGCCTCTACCTCCCTCACCATATCATTCTCTTCATAGTGATTATCCAACCAGGAGAATTATCCAACCAGTGCAACAGTTCATTGAAAAAGCCAGTTAGGCTGGGCTTGTTCAGTCCTGTCATCCCAGCACTTTGGGAGGCCGGGGTAAGTGGATTGCCTGAGCCCAAGAGTTCGGGACCAGCCCAGGAACTTGGCAAGACCTCGTCTCTACAATAAAATAAAAAAATAGCCAGGCGTGGTAGTGCGCATCTGTAGTTCCGGTTACTCGGAAGGCTGAGGTAGAAGGATCGCTGAAGTCCAGAAGGTTGACGCTGGGGTGGCTGTGAGCATGCATGCCCCTGCATTCCAGCCTGGGCAAAGGAGTTAGACTCCAACTCAAAAACAAAACAAAACAAAAATCAAAAAAGCCAGTTAAAGCAACTTTTGTGTAGATGATGCCCAAGTTCTTTACACAACTCATTTCATTATTTTTGACAACTCATTTTAAATTGAAACATATACATGCACATTCCTTGGCCAGTCTTTCTGTTACAGATCCCAGGGTCTTTTCTCTGAGTATAAGCTTGCTGACCAGAGTTCCCAAATTGTCTATTTGAAATTTCGGTTTCTTTAAAGCAGAACAAGAACTTAAAGACACCTGCAAAAGAATCTGAGTGTGAAAGTCATCTGGATTTTTACAAAGTGTCCCCAATGTTTAGTTATTGTATCTGCATTTTTTTCAACAGGGATATGATTTGAGTGATTACAAAGTCATCCCAAAGTGGTCAATGGAAATTTACAGAAATAATAACTTTCTCCACTCACCCTGAGTATAGCGTAGAGCTTCAGAGCTCAGACTGTACACCATGGGGTTCAAACCCCAACTTGGTTACTTATTAGCCGATGATTTTGGGTAAGTTATTTAACTTCTCTGTGCCTGTTCCTCATATGTAAAACTGGGATTTCGGATATTACTGTTGCTTCATTTGTTCGTGTGATGTTAAATTTAATTATGTAATTACAACAACAAGTACAACTGCCATAAACAGGTTTGGGAGCAAACAACTGACTCCTGATAAGCATCTGACTTAACTGATGTGGCAGAAGGACTAGGGTGTACTAAGGACCAGCCCATTGCTGAGTGTTCAGCATGCCATGGGCGTTAGTCAGTATGTTTTACACAGGGAAATGGAAAGCATCAGGTAAGTGGGGTTAATTAAGACCATGCTAGTTAAGAATGACTTTACTGAACTTGTTCACCACCTGTCATCCAACCTTGGTTACCCTGGGGAGGCTTAAACCACCACGATGCCCTGGCATCACCAGAGACTGATGCTAGAGGTACTAGGTTGGCCTAGGCATTTCTAAAAGCTCCCAGATCTTAACAAGCAGGGTGGAGCAACTAAGGGCTAAAAGGGAGGCTCTCAGAGGGCAGGGTCTGCTGCTGCGATCTCACAACTGGACATGCAGTGCCTAGCACAGTTCCTGGCCACAGCAGGCCTTTGCATTCTACTGTGTAAGGGAGCAAGTGGTAGCCACCGGGTTTGACACACCAGGGCACAGGCTTTATTCACTCTTCCTAGCTTCATTGTCACACCAGTGGGCAGGGACCAAACACACAAAGCAGCGTGTCCAAGAGGCAGACAAAGGCACCAAGGGAGAAGTCAGGCCTCGACGGTGATAAACACTTCCACCCAGAAACTGGTTCCAGGAGGTGCCAGCCAAGCTGCAGTTAATCATTCACCCCACACCAAGGGATACGATGCCTATCTGACTGTCCCAGCCACCAGGCTTTCCGAGTCCTGGGCAGTCCTCTCAGATGGTAGATCTTCTAGACAGGAGAGCCATGGCCCAGCCACAGGTGAGGTGGATGGGTGGCTGGGGGCACAGGTCCCCAATCCAATCTCTTCCTCCACACCGCCCCTCGTCTGATTCTCTCAGGAAGGACTCATTAACAGTGTGCCCTGAGCTTCCCCCAAAATGATGTCACAAAAAGGCAGAACATAGCTGGGGGAAGTGTGAAGGGTAGAAAGGGAACGGTGGTTGCTAGGCAACTGGCCCTAGCCCACCTTTGTTTGCTTTGGTGACAGCAATGAAGGTCTGATCAGGCACTGCGAATGCCTTTTCCTCCCAACAGTTGCTTCTTTGAGTCAGAGTTCAGCTCTGGTCACCTGGAGGGCTCTTGGCTCAGCTGAAGGACTGATTTGACCTCATAGGACTCAGGACTGTTAGCAGAATTAGGTAATGGTTCCTTCCTTTTTCACCTGGGTGGCCCTCGTCTGGCTACAGGTTTGCAGCTTGCCAACATAAGCTCCATTTCTAGCTTAGTTAGCCTTGTTTTCAGTGGCCTCCAAGGAAGTTTATATCGAGGACTCAGCTGGAATCAGCCCCTCCCTGGCTCCTATACTGATCTCTCAAAATGCCTCCCAAATGTTTGGCAGGAAAAATAGGGAGGCTCTACAGTGGTACTTTTCAGATTCCAGCAAGTAGGTCTTAGGGAGAGAAAGTGCTTACTCACACCGGGGCAATCAGGAAAGAAGGACGGGAGGATTGAGAGGTAGCCTCCAGGAGAATCCAAGGCCCCCTCTCTTTGCACTGGTCCTTGCTCCTGTATCTATAGGGAAGGGAACCCCATCTGTTGCTTGTTGGAGTCATCAAACCCAACCACTTCCGAACCCTTCTGTGTGCAGCGGTTACAGAGGTGGACCAGCTGTTCACTGAGACTGCTACAGAGGCTGAAGGTGGGAAGCAGAGCGTAGTTCCTGGGACTGGACCCTGGAGAGTCCCCTACACTTAGGACCTCCGTTCCTCTCTTCCAGATTCCCATGGACAAACAGACACTAATGAAGACATTTTGGAATGAAGACTTCTGGCAGAACCCTTGGGATCAGGGGGCCCTGGTGGTGATTGTGCTATTCAACTGCACAGTCCTGTTTCTCATCTTCTTTGCCATTGTGTTTGGTTTATTCACTTCTACAGAGGACATCCAGTGTGAAGAGAAATGACCTGTCTGCCTGGGGCCCAAGATGGCAGCAGGGGAGGCAAGTTGCCTTTCTTTCCTCATACCAGCAGTCCCCTCTGGCTCCTGCTATATTCTTTTCCCACCAGGAAAGAGTCCAGTCAAATACTGGAACTGGCTTCAGGGCTGGTCAGACTAGCAAAATGGAGAAACTGCTCTGAGACCACTGCCAGTCATCAGAACCCTGAAAGCACCTGGGGAGGACTCTGCTGCCTCACAGGAGCAATAGCTAACAAGGGTCCCTAACAGGCTCACAGGCTCAGCCAGCAACTTCACAAATCCTTGACAGAGAAGGACACAAAACAACCAAATGAAGTAAAAATTCCTTTTCAAATCTGTTATCTGTGGGAGCTCATTTTCTATCTAGACACAGCCACCAGAACACACTTCCCTAGCAAAAAAGGCCCCATGGGGCCCTGCACATCTCCTCGGCCATCCTGCCCTGTCCTGCCCCACCCCTGGGCTCTTGGAATGTCTCTCACTTCTTGAATATGTTGTGTTTGCTCCTCCCACAGGGCCTCTGCGCATGCTATTCTTGTTGACAGGGAGGCTCTCTCTCACATGTCACTCCTTCACCTAGTTAGTGCATCCTCATCCTTCAGGTCTCAGTCTAAACCTGAGTGCCTCAGGTAAATCTTCCCTGACCCTCTTGGATTGGGGTTAGGGCCACCTGCTATAAACTCTCAAAACACCAGCCCCTACCCCACCCCATTTAACAAGACTTACGTGTTTTTTGGTTTTTTGGTTTTTGAGTTAGAGTCTCACTCTGTCGCCCAGGCTAGAGTGCAACAGCACGATCATGGCTTACTACAGCTTCCAGGTGATCCTTCCACCTCAGCCTTCCAAGTAGTTGGAACTATAGGTATGCACTACCACTCCCGGCTAATTTTTTGATTCACTGTAGAGACAAGGTCTTGCCAAGTTGCCCAGGTTGGTCTCGAAGCCCTGAGCTCAGACAATCCTCTTGCCTTGGCCTCCCAAAGTGCTGGAATTACAGGCTTGAGCCACCATGCCCAGTCAACTTACGTGTTTTTAATGTGACTATCTGTGCCTGTCGTCCCCACTAAATGAAGCACCACAGACCAGGGAATGGCTCTCTTTTTGCTCACTATTGACTGGCACAGAGTTGGTATCAATCAATATTTGTTGGCTGAACAAATGAATGAACGAACAAACAAATGGATAAACAGGAATATGTTGGATTTACCCAGCCCAGAAATCCCAGGAGACACTAGAGCCCAATTCAATCCAGGCCTAAACACAAAGCTTCTCTCAAGCCGAAGGTTGCTTCAAATCCAATAACTAAAAGACACTAAAAGATAAAAGCCCTGTCATGAATAATCAAACACTGCTTTTCAAGGCTGTAGCCTAGACAAAGGAGCTATATGCAGAAAAGAGAGGAAACAGGCTGCTGCCCCAACCTGGTCTCATTCGTTCCTAACCTTAGTGTCTTTTCTGTTGGCCCCACCACCACGTGCTCCAGACCCTACAGGAAGCCCACAGCTTCCTTAGTAGAAATGTCCCCACCTCTGCTGAATCCAGCCCACTGACTCTGTCCCTTGCTGTCAGGTTCCCACTCTAAGGGATTGCTGGTGTAACAGCTGCTTCAACCTCAACCTTTAACCAGAACTATTCTTAGAAAAGGAGCAAATATCTAGTAGAGAAGGGGCTTTTTATTCATGCTGTACACCGCTTACAAAATAAAGAGACATTTTCATTTAAAGAGCATCGGCCAATACAGAAACACCAGCGTGTTTATTCCAGCCTGGGGCCTGGAATCCAGAACCTCACAGGTGAAAAAGTGATAGGAGGAATGAGGCTGTACATGGGCAGCAGGAGGCCGGCACCTGGGCTCCTTGTCCATAGATGTTTGGACCCCACCCCACAGCCGGCCCACAAATGCACTAAGAAGTCCCAACTCCCTGGAACAAGACAGGAGAAATAAAGGCAGAGGGCCTATCTGCTTGCCTGGCAGGCCAAGCAGCCTCTGAGAACACAACAGAGCTCACTCTCCAGAGCCTCAGACTCAGCCCCTCAGTTTCTTCAGCAGAGGGGACTCTGACAATTAGCACTGGGCACTTTCACTCCACAGAAACGAGAGCTCTGCTCAGGGAGCCCAAGAAAGCGGGATTGAGCAACTCCCTGTATTAGTGCTTGAAAGGGTTCTGGTGGCAATGGCCGTAGGCAAGGTGGTCCCAGCGCTGCAGCCCATCACTTCTGCTGGGTGTGGTCATGCCACAGAGGCCAAAGTAGATAAGGCCATTTGGAGAAGAAAACAGCTTCAGTCCAGGATCCACTGACTCACTGGTGAACAGTGGGCAGTGGGAAATAAAACACATGGCCCAGCCGGTCTGGTGGCTCAGCCTGTAATCCCGCGCCTTTGGGAGGCTGAGGTGAGTGGATTGCCTGAGCCCGCGGGTTCGAGACCCGCGTGGGCAGCGAGACCTCATCTCTACAATAAATCAAAAAATCAGCCGGGCATGGTAGCGCATGCCTGTAATTCTGGCTACTTGGAAGGCTGAGGTGGAAGGATCGCCGGAGCCCAGCAGGTCAAGGCTGCGGTGGCCGGGAGCGGCCACTGTACTCCAGTCTGGGCGACAGAGTGAGACTCCAACTCAAAAAAAAAAAACAAAAAAACACATGGCCCAGAGGAGAGACTCCCTGGTTTCCGCACCGGTACCATGTATCTGGCACCATGCTTCAAGACTCCAGTCTTGCAAAAACCAAGATAGCCCAGGTGTGTGGAAATAAAGACAGAGGCCCTGGGAAGGGCTTATCTGCTTGCCTGGCAGGCCAAGCAGCCTCTAAAAATCAGGAGACGTGAGCTTAGTGGTTTGTATCTACCATGAGCTTTGTCACTATGACCTCCCTGGATCTCGATTTACTCATCTCTAAGTCTGAAGCAATCACTTCTGCCTCATCTCCTCACAGAATCGATCCCTGAGACCATGAAATCAGATGAATCTAAGAGCTTTTTAGAGCAAAGTGTAAAGAATCCCCCCTGGTGTCCCTCACCTGGGCACTCACCGTTCTACATGCCCAGCCACATCCTGACTATCATTGAGCAGCCATCAGGCTCTTTCTGTGGCCCCCACCCCATTGTCTGCAGATACAGATAAAATAGACAAGTTGGTTCAAAGTATATGAACCTCACAGACATAAGCTGGGTCACATGCTCCTGTTTGGGTCCATAGTGCCCATGGCTCGGAGCTGGTCACATTACTTGGGACTGAATTGCTTGTGAAGCCAGCCATCCCAGAGGGGGTTGGAGTGGGGAGATGAATGACCACCCCAAACCCCTATTCTGCCAGAGTTACTGAAGCTTCCAGAAGAGAAGAGGAAGGTCCACCCAAAATAATGGCATTTGTAGGTGGTGGTCCCTGTCTTCCGACAGTTGGTTAACTAGTAGGCATTGTGAGAGGAGATTGTCTTACCAACACTTTGCTCCAAATACAAAAAAGTCACTTACCCCGCCGGGCTCGGTGGCTCAGCCTGTAATCCCGCGCCTCGGGAGGCCGAGGTGAGTGAAATGCCTGAGCCCGCGGGGTCAAGACCCGCCTGGGCAACTTGGCAA